ACAAAATCCGTACCTGTAAACCTTTGAGTGGGTATTAAGGAACCCGGTACCTACATAAAAGAACCTGGTACCTACACAATAGAGGCTAATAGCTATCTAATTTATGGTAGGGTTTTATAGCCGTGAAGTCAACGAAATATTTTGGAATGGACTTTATAGGGAAATTTTGTAAAGAGATTTCTAAGCTAAAAAAACAATTTTTTTTTACAAACTTTGACACCCTGTATCTAGAAACCTTTTTATTTTAATGAATACTTTGTTCAATCTCATTATTCAGAAACACCCAAGGAAACACTATGTAGATCTTGTGTGTTTGTTACTATATCCTGTATAAAAATTTTATCATACCTTAACATTGATTTTTAGGTCCACCCAGTATAAAGTCTGTTCTTACAGAAATCACAAACCAGTCAGAGCGAATTTCAATTGGTTGAAAATAATGCGAATCCTTTTTGTTGGCGATTTGCACCAATCAAAAATGTTCTGACTGGTTTGTGATTTTTGTGAGAACAGACCTATGAATAATAGGTCTATACCTATGAAACGTCAATTTGAAACTCATATTTCAGACTCGCTTGCAAACACGAAAAATTCTAAAGAATTCTGGCTAACTTATAAAAGACTTGGCGGTCACAGAAAACAGACATTACACTCTCGCGAATTCTGGCAAGATTATTTGGCAACCGTGTATACACAGCAATTCTCCGAACCTTTTCAGTTTTACGGTGCGCGTGATGGTGTCCTTGACCGAGAATTCTCACTTACAGAGTTGAAAAATACCATAGGCAAATGTAAGAATGGGAAATCGCCTGGTGTGGACGGGGTCCCCTACGAATTTCTAAAGAACCTTCCGAGCAATTGGCTTCTGTATAATATGTACATTTTTTAACAAAATATTGGAAACCGGAAATACTCCTTCATCTTGGTCTGAAATTGTGTTTTCAATGTTACATAAAAAAGGTGATATTAACGATCCCAATAATTACCGTTCAATAGCTCTGGTTAACTGTTTAGCTAAGATTTTCACTCAACTGCTTCTTTCTAGGCTTGAAACTTGGGAAAACAATTTTAGCGTAATACCTGAAGAACAGTCGGGTTTCCAAAGAGGACGCGCCTGCGCCGATAACATTTTTATCTTGACTTCTTTATTACAGTTTCATTTAAGACTCCCGGGTAGAAAGGTTTTTGTTGCCTTTATTGATTTCAAGCGTGCTTTTGATAGCGTTAAACACTCACTACTTTGGAGAAAACTCCATAGTTTTGGGGTTCCTCTCTCCTATATAAACATCGAGGGGCAAACCACTCCTCTAAAAAATGTACATGTATTGCGGAAATCCTATGATTTCTTGGCAATCATTGCGATTTCCAGGGCTGCCATCAGAATTTAAGAGATTTCGAAGATTGCCATGAAAATCCCAATGATTTCCAAGATTGCGGGACTGCAAAATGATTATTGCGGGACTGCAAAATGATTATTGCAGGACTGCGGAAGGGATTGCGAAAAAAATACTTGCGATTGCGCGATTGTCACAATGATTTCGAGTGATTTCGGATGCTGCGACGAGAAATTTAGACACGCCCCTATGACCTCATTCACAAGATTTCCGCGACTGCGAACACGATTTCCGCGACTGCGAACACGATTTCCGCGACTGCGAACGTGATTTCTGCGAATGCGAACAAGAATGCGGGATTTCGGACAATTTTGGCGACTGTCTAACGAAGACTGCAGGATTTCCTTGTGATTTCGGAGAAATTTAAATAAAATTTACATGTGTTGCGGGGAGTAGGGCAAACCACTCCTCTTAAAAATGTACACGTATTGCGGAAATCCTATGATTTCTTGGCAATCATTGCGATTTCCAGGGCTGCCATGAGAATTTAAGGGATTTCGAAGATTGCCATGAAAATCGAAATGATTTCCAAGATTGCTGAAATAATCGCAATAATTTCCAAGATTGCGAGACTGCAAAATAATTATCGCAGGACTGCGGAAGGGATTGCGAAAAAAATACTTGCGATTGCGCGATTGTCACAATGATTTCGAGTGATTTCGGATGCTGCGACGAGAAATTTAGACACGCCCCTATGACCTCATTCACAAGATTTCCGCGACTGCGAACACGATTTCCGCGACTGCGAACACGATTTCCGCGACTGCGAACGTGATTTCTGCGAATGCGAACAAGAATGCGGGATGTCGGACAATTTTGGCGACTGTCTAACGAAGACTGCAGGATTTCCTTGTGATTTCGGAGAAATTTAAATAAAATTTACATGTGTTGCGGGGAGTAGGGCAAACCACTCCTCTTAAAAATGTACACGTATTGCGGAAATCCTATGATTTCTTGGCAATCATTGCGATTTCCAGGGCTGCCATGAGAATTTAAGGGATTTCGAAGATTGCCATGAAAATCGAAATGATTTCCAAGATTGCTGAAATAATCGCAATAATTTCCAAGATTGCGAGACTGCAAAATAATTATCAAAGGACTGCGGAAGGGATTGCGAAAAAAATACTTGCGATTGCCACATTGATTTCGAGCTATTTCGGAGGCTGCGACGAGAAATTTAGACACGCCCCTATGACCTCATTCACAAGATTTCCGCGACTGCGAACACGATTTTTGCGACTGCGAACATGATTTCTGCGACTGCGAACGTGATTTCTGTGAATGCGAAGAAGAATGCGGGATTTTGGGCTATTTTGGCGACTGTCTAACGGAGAATGCAAGATTTCCTTATGATTTCGAAGAAATTTTAATAAAATGTACATGTATTGCAGGGAGTGGTTTGCCCCTCGATAAACATCTTAATTCAGATTTACTGTAACGCTTCAGCTAAAGTAAAATGCTCTGACGGACTTTCAGACCCAATTGGAATAAGTGAAGGCGTACTTCAGGGAGAACCACTATCCCCTTTTCTGTTTTTACTGTTTCTCTCTGATATCATACAGTTTTTTGAGGGTAAGGGAGCTAGGCTAATTAATATTGATGGTGTTAATGAACTTTTTATGCTGCTCTATTGTGACGACCTAATTGTTTTCGGGCTTTCAGAACGAGATCTACAATGCAACCTGAATATCCTGGCTGAGTATGTAAAGGAGAACAATTTGGCAGTCAATGTTGCAAAGTCCAAAATAATGTGTTTCAGGAGAGGGGGTTTTCAAGCTAGTTACACCAAAAGATTTATTTTCAAAAACGAACCCCTTGAAATTGTCAATGAATATACATACCTTGGAGTCACTTTCACTGCATCTTCTAAATTTCGAATTATGGCAGACAAATCTGTCTCAAAATGCAAACAGGCCATTGGCGCGGCAGTTTCACATCTATCAAAGTTTAAATCATTTTCAATTACTTCAAGACTTAAAATATTTGAAACGTGTGTACATAATGTCTGGGTCCGCACCCATCTGGGCCCTAAGATATCTAGACGTCCTTGAACAGATACAAACATCATTTCTCAAAAAATCTCTTTCCCTGCCTAAAAGCACCTCTTCAGCCATACTTCGCCTGGAGTTTGGCGTTTCTCCTATAGCGACAACTATACTTAAATGGACTCTCAACTTTCTCAAAAGGTTGCTCTCTATGGATGAAAGCAGATTACCCTTAATTTGCCTTAAAAGGCAACTACAGCTTATCGACTCGCCGCTAGCATATAACTGGCTATCGCAACTCAAATTGGTACTTACTGGAACAGGTTTTGATAATATTTTGATTAATAATTTAACACCAAGATTTGTAACTAGACGAAAAATCGATCAAATAATTGACAAATACCGAGAGCTATCCTTTCGGAAAGATATTGCTTTGGCTAGAGATTCCAGTTATATGACCTTTTATCCATTTTTATCAATAACAAAAAATCCAGCTACTTATTTAACATTTAGAGTACAAACATTTGTTTTGAAACTCATAGCGCAAACAAGACTTGCCAACAAATACCTATGTGCTTTTACCTTTAATTCTATCCTCTATAAACTTGACCCCCGCATAATATGTACAGTTTGTAACACCTCTGAACTAGAGACATTAGACCACATTCTTTTCAGATGTCCAATGTATAGAGAAGTCAGACCATTAACATGGTCGAGCCCTGACTCATTTCTTAATTTACTTGAAACCTTAGCTCCAGTATCTGCCAAAACATTTGCTTCCACCATAATGTCATTCCTCAGGCTTCGATCCTTTTTGATATCGCAGGATTAGAATTTGTTAGAAATATCAACTTTCTCTCTTTTTTTTGTTGTATAGACCCCTTCCATAGGTACTTTTATTAGGCACCAAAATGTGAACCCTTCTGGTTTTTAGTTTAAACATATAAATACAAGTAACTTTATCTTTCGCTTTGTAATTAGATTAAGATTATTTAGATTATTATTATTTTTTTGTTCGTTTCTAATAACAAATACTTATCCAAATTCAAAACAAATTATATTCCCTCCTTTATAAGTTTATTTTTGCTTTTGTAATTCAAACCACTACGTTTACTAGATTTGGAGCACTCATTGTTATAGAAAATACTTTCTGGAAACAATAAAAATTGAATTGAATTGAAATCTATACCTATGAAAGATTTTATTGTTAATGATCAGATTATACAATTTGTAACCCAGACCATAAATGTACCTAAATATAAATTTCTTTCATAAGTTTTACGCCTACACACATTTATATCAACAAAAAAATGAATGAAAATGGGGGTAGGTTAGTTTTGTTGTCATCCATTTTTGTTTGGTGTGTTTGTTTTGTTTGTTGCTACTGAAAGTTGGGTTATGAAACGTCAGTAAATGTCAAAAATAATCAAATTCCCAGTTGATTTGATTTATATTGGACGAAAAATGAGCTAATTCGCATTATTTTGGCTCAAATTATAAATGAAAATTCAGGAAAAGCGAAATTGCGCCACAAAAAGTCACACCCACCATTTGCTGTTGACCCAGGAAAATGACATTTGAGATTAACTAAGGCACAATGAAAAAAAAAAAGGAAACTTACTCGTCTCCGTCTGGGCAAATGCCAGTAGTCTCGTCGTATTTTGTGCAGTAATTATCGGCGCTATAATTAAACGTGCCATCCCTACGTCTTACGGGCCTACGGCGCCTCTGGTTCATAAAATGCCAATGAAAACAGGTGAAAGGCCGATGCTGTGTACATTTGTGTTGTAAGAAGAGCGGGCATTGCTCGACACGGAATTCTTTCAAATATCTAGAAAACAACGAAACAAATTAGCAAGTCGAAAACACGTACTTGCACGGGAATTATTAGGGAACACGTCACAATGGCAAAAACAAACTAAAAATACACTTACGAGTAATGATTTGGCTTTTCCGTTTGAGCTGTCAACAAAGGTTTGGACTCTGACGGCATTTTGTTATTTACTGGCACGCAATTGCATTCGCGCAGGGCACGCTATCAATACACCAATCGCGACTTATAAACACGATCACGTGCTCGAAGAATCATGGGAGAATTCACCAAAGTCAAGGACGATGTTGTTTTGATGAAAATCGAACTTTACCTGTGGTGAATTTTAATTTATTTGGATGTAAAATGTACACAAACAATACTAATTTTTGCTTTACATAAATATCAATTGATAATTAACATAATTAATAACAAACAATAGAATTTTTAAAAATGTCTTTGTAATATTTATTTTTCTTCTATTAACTAAATAATAGTACAAATACATAATCTATCCTTTACTTTAACGTGTTGCTAAATAAGGACAAACGTACTCGCAACGTTGCCAAATCTAAGCCAATAATGTAGAAATCAAAAAAACACTGTATTTATAATTCAATAACAGATGGCGCCACATATATCCAATCATGGAGATGGGTGTTGTGTTTGTGCAAAAGCTGGTGTTATTTTTAATTTTCGTTGAGCGATATTAATTCAGATATTATAAAACTAAATGGAATGTGGAAGTAAAGTGTCCCAATTATTATTATGGTATGCGGGCTCGTTTATATCGGTTCGAAATAGCCGCAAACTATGTCCAAACGTCGCTGTTTCTATGCCATTTTTGCTCCAGGGCAAACTAAAAAATTGAACAATAAATTGTAAGTAATTTATTTGTTTATTTTAAATTGTTTTGAATATTTATTATTATTATTGGTTATTGTTCATTAAAATCTGGACAACCTAATATAATTAGGTTAAGAATGCCTGCCTTTGTTTGCGGTTGAATCTTTTTTTTAGGTCATCCCAAAATTTGTTTTTTTTTTTTTCATTTGAAACTCGATATCTCAATTTTGTTTAATAATAATTACACAATTTGTATTTGTTTACAGTAGAGTGGCCTTCAAACTTAAGTATTAACCAGGCTTTGTTGCTGAAAGATGTAATAATAAACAATTTAAAACTTTGTTAGATACTCAGAAATTTAATTTTGAAAATGCTATCTTGTTTATGTATGTATAGGTACTAACAAAATAATGTAATATTTTCTTATTTAGTAGTAGCATTTTTTGTGTTTGAGTAGGGATGGCAAAGATATATCGATATATTTCGAAAAAAAATCGATAATATTGATGCGATATATCATATATCCAAATTCCCAGTAACAGAATTTATTTAATTAGGTATATTTGACACAATATTACGGCATTCATTCAATTCAATGTTCTAGAATTAAATGCGATTCTGTATTATCAGGTCTGTTTCTGCAGAAATCACAAACCAGTCAGAGCCTGGGTCAGAGCGAATTTGATTGGTTGAAAACAGTCAGAAAACTAGTTTCAACCAATGAAATTCACTCTGACTGGTTTGTGATTTCTGCAGAAACAGACCTGATTATCGTTTTATTTCCAAGATCACAGCAAGCCTCTAAAATTTGACATTTGTCATTATTATTATTATTATTATTATTATTATTATTAGTTTCAGCAGTAGGCGGATTTAAAATCCGATGAGACTACTGAGTCTGTTGTACTGCGTGTGTCATTGTTTGGTGTTATTAAAATCACATTTAGATTGGTCATGCAGAGTAATGCACAAACATATTGTTCCAGTCTTCGATTTCCTTGTCAAGGCGATTTTTGAATTGGTTCTTGGATGTTGAGTTTACAGTGTCGCTGCTCAGAGAGTTCCAATGATACACCACCCTGTTGGACAGGAAGTTTCGTCTAAGCATTTTGTTGCATTTTTCTTTGGATAGCTTTTTGTTGTGACCCCGTGAGTTTTGATTAATGCTGAGTTGGTATATATTGGTTAAGTTGCAGGCATAGTATCCGTTGAGAATCTTAAATGTCTCGATAAGATCTCCTCTGGTTCTGCGGTCTTTCAGTGTGGTCAGGTTCAATTGAGTCAGTCTGATTTCATATGGTAGATCTTTAAGTTCACTAGGAAGCTTAGTAATCCGCCGTTGTACTCGCTCGAGTTGTTCAATGTCCTTCACATACCGTGCGTTCGTTATTTTGGTCTGAGTTCTCCGAGCTTGACTTTACCGTTCGTTTATTTAAAAAGTGTACTCGGTGCAGCCTCATTCGCGTTCGTTTATTAAAATTTCTGGCACTTTCATACAGAGTTCAACTGCTCTGTTCGCTCGCTGGTCACGTGATTACGGCTCCGCTCAGCACGCTCTGCTCTTTGAGCAAAATACCGAACGCAAGGATAGTAAGGATTCCAGATTGATTGGGCATACTCAAGTTTTGGTCGAATGTAGGACTTATACAGTTTCAAAATCATCTCTTTAGAGTGGTCTTTGAATGCTGTTTTGATGAGGTATGTCATTGAGTTTGCCTTTTTTGTTACATTAGTGATGTGTGTCTCCCATTTTAGGTCTGCCGTCACTGTGATTCCAAGGTCTTTCTGCTTTGCAACAGTTGTTATTGGTGTTTGTTGTAGAAAATAGCTATGACTAGGGTTATTCTGGCCTATGTGTAGTACAGTACATTTGGAATCATTAAGTGGCATTCCCCACTTTGTTGTCCATTCCTTTATTCTGACAAGATCTTGCTGTAGGTCCTTATGTTGTAATAGAGGGTTACAATATATGTTACCATCATCTGCAAAAGATGCATTTTTTGTTGTAAGTCCCTGGTACAGATCGCTCAAGTATGTTATGAATATGAGGGGACCGAGAACTGAGCCTTGAGCAACTCCGCTGTGTACTTTGTGCTCCTGCGACAGGCTAGTACCAATTCGTACCTGGAAAGTTCGACCAGACAAAAAACCATCACCAATCAGCCGTAGTAAATCACCTCTGACTCCAAATTGCTGTAGTTTGTATTTGATGTATTCGATTGGTATTTTGTCAAACGCCTTTTCGAAGTCAAGGTAGACCACATCCATTGGTTCTCGGTTGTCATCAGCCAGTGACCAGTCGTTGAACCTAGTTAGAAGGTTAGTGAATGTGGATTTTTTTGGTAGGAAGCCATGCTGCTGTGAGGGTATGATCCTTGTTTCCAAGAAGAAAGATGTAAGTTCTTTTGCTATGACTTTTTCCATGCACTTACACAGCATGCTAGTTAAACTAATTGGCCTGTAGTTTTCTGCCAACTGTTTATTTCCTTTTTTAAATATTGGTGTGACAATAGCTTTCTTCCAGGCTTTCGGAAATTCCCCTGTTGTCTGTAAGATGTTTAACACATTTGCCAGGGGTGCTTTTAGAACTTGTACATAATTTTTGAGAAAAATGGAAGGAATTTCATCTATTCCAGGACTTGAGTTGGACTTTAATGACTTTATGGCAACTTCTAATTTTTCTGGTGTAAATTCGATGTGATTTATCTCAGTTACCGTGTAAGCATTTACTGGTAGTGTGGGCCTAAGGGTGTTTGCGTCCAGAATAGTAAAAACACTCTGGAACTGCTGCGCGAAGCACTCTGCGATTTCCTGATCAGATTTGAACGGTATTGAGGTATCCTTATCTATTAGATTGAAGCTGGCATGCTTCGAGTTTAGCGAACGGCTTATGTATGAGTAGAATTGTTTAGTGTTCGCTAATAAATTGTGTTCATAGTTTCTCCTGGCCGATACTGTGCAGGTTTTTGTTTTGTTGTTTTGGTGTTGATAAATTTGATAATTTTCTTCAGATTTGTTGTTTTGGTAATTATGCCAAAGATTTCGCTTTTGTTGAATTTCTTTGAAAACTTCTTTTGTGAGCCATGGTTTTTGCGGATTAACTTTTTGTGGTTTGTTTGGGATGTGTTTGTTTATTGTGTTTGTTAAAGCCTCGTAGAATTGGTTGAAAGTCAATGGGTTTGCCAGTCTTCTTAATTCCTGTTCAAGTGTTTCATTAACTGCGATGTAATCTGCTTTCCAAAATTGCCTTTTGTAAATTTTTCTGGTTGGTTGAGCAGCTACATTTATTTGTGACTTGGCTGTGATTACAACATGATCACTTTTTCCCAAGGGTGCGTGTGATTTGATATCAAAAACTAACTTTTTCTCATTGGTTATGAGTAGATCAAGTAATGATATCTGGGTGTTGCGGATTCTTGTTGGAAAATTTATTTGCTGATACCCCCTATGGTTTTTATAGCTTTCTAGGAAGGCTTGGCTGCACTGGTCATTTGGATGGACTTCCAGTGTATTCCACTTTATTTCGGGGTAATTATCACTTGTCACCCAGGTAATTTGAAAGAGGTTGCTGCTCAATGGTTGCTGCTCAATAGTTGTATTCCTTTCAAGAGTTTGAAACACTCGAACTACTCGCTCCGGTGCTTAGTAGCCCCCGATTTGCAGGGAACAGATGCGGGGTGCAACAAACACTTTTCGAAAGGAATAAGCGTGTGAAGCCCTGGAGCTGTTCCGGAGCTCCTGCTAGGTGTAAAAGGAATACAACTAATGGTTGCTGCCAAGGTTGTTTGAGAGTGGTAGGTTGCCTGGGCTGGGACTCTGTAAAGAATAGAGATATCCTCCCTATCTCTATTGAAGTCAACTCTCTATTGATTTCGACAAAAGAGAAGAAGACAGCAGGTGACATAGCGATAGGGACAACGATCTCCATCCGCTACAGAGTTCCAGCCCTGATAACTTTATGACGTCATCTGGAGTGCCTCAACATAATGCAAATCTTCATAAGGCACCCCAGATGCGTCATCCAGTTACCCATTACCAGACAACCTTATAACTTTGGTAACCTTGGGTTGCTGCCTTGTGTTGCTTTCAAGGTTGTTCGAAAGAGGTAGGTTGCCCATCAACTTTTATGATGTCACCTGAAGTGCCTAAACATAGAGCAAATTTCCGTTTGGCACCCCAAATGATGTCATCTGTTTCCCATTAAATAAATTAGTAAATTAGTCTTGACTAAATAAAGGATTTATATTATCAGACAACGTATTAGCTATTAACTTTAGGAACCTTGCATTGCCTGCCATTTGCAATCAAATCAAATCAAATCAAATAACGCTTTATTGTCTAAAGAATAAACTCATTGACAAAGCCTAAAAAATATAAATTTAACCCTAAATTCTAAATCTTAGCAATACTCAATACAAAATAAATTATAGACACATAACTTAGGGCTAGTCAATTGTTCAAATATACTACAAATACTATTCCGATTAGATAAAATTAAGTTAAAATACAAAATTTACACAAAAACAGGAATACTTTTTTAAAATCTCGATATAATAGTTAAACAAAACAATCAAAGTAAAAATTAATATAAGATTAAACGACTAAAAAACATCCTTATAGAACTCTTCTAAACTATAGTATGCCTTCAATTTTAGAACGGACTTTACACATTTTACAAAACTCTTAAGATCATGGAGACCCTTCCACTCATCCGGCAAATGATTGTATATCTTTAAACTTTCATACATTAAAGAGTTTTTGGTAAAACCACTCCTGGGTATTGGTAATGGTATATTATGTCCATAACGTGTGTTGTGGATGTTGGGATTTATAAAATTTCTATACTTTTTGTGCACCAAGGAGACAGTCTCCAAAATAAAAATACATGGCAATGTAAGGATTTCTTCCTGAACAAACAATGACCTACAATGGTCCCTAGCCTTCAATTTGCATAAATACCTAAGCGCCCTCTTCTGTAGGACAAACACAGAATTAAAAAGTTGTTTGTTACAAAGACCCCAAAATGCAATCCCAT